CTCACTCTTTCCTGAAGGACTGCCCCCGCCCCTTGGCCACCTAGTAAGGCCGCCCCAAAGGCAAGTTGCTGGAGGCTGGGACTTTCTGCCACCATAAGCAGTCTGGAACAAGCAGAGATGCACCACGGCCACTGGACTGAGCTCCGGGTCCGTCCCCTGCACACAGAGGCCGTAGCCCCACCTGCCATAGCCAGATGGAGACAGGGGCCCGGGATACTTGGGGAAGCCAAAGGTCAGGCCTTCCTAGCTTGGAGGAGTAATGCCAACAGGGTTTGAGGATCTCCACCTTCCTCGTATCCTCCAACACATGAGACTGGAGGAAGTGTCTGCCCTACTTATAAGTCCCTGGAGCATGTCAGGAGTGACTTGTCATTTTCCCTGTGGTGAGAGCAGAGAGGGAGAGTGAACCCCCAAGGGAGCTCTTAGGATCCTTTCTTGCCTTGGAAATAAGATTCAGGCAGTCACTCTCTGCCTTTGAGCTGGCCTCGTAGGAGACAGGGGGTGGACTAGCCTGTCTGTCCAGACCCAGCCTGGCCTGCCTCTGAAAGGGTCAACAATGATAACCAAGGCCTCACTGGTTTTATCAACAGCTCCTGGGACAGCCCTGTGGTAATCACAGAGCTGTCCGGGGCCTGCCCTCTACTGGGTACAACCTACTCCGGAGCCAAAACTTCCAACAAACTGAGGGTTTGGCCTCCTGGAGGGAAAGCAGCCACCCGATTGTCTGAATTACAGATTTTTAATCTGCTACCTTAGCCACATGGGGAGAAAAGACAAATTTGCCTATGAGCCTACCCAGCTACAGAGACAACTTAACTCTGGGCTTAAAATAAAACAAAGGTTATCTGAAACTACTTTCACTGGGTTCTTTAAACAGGTTAATTTTTTTTTTTTAAAGATTTATTTATTTGAGAGAGAGAGAGAGGGAGCAGTAGACTCCCCGCTGGGCAGGGAGCCCAAAGCAGGGCCCCATCCCAGGACCCCGGGATCATGACCTGAGCCGAAGGCAGACACTTAATGACTGAGCCACCCAGGCCCCCCAAAACAGGTTAATTTTTAACGACACCTGCAGTGAGTTGACAGATGACAAATTAGGAAAACAAATGACATGAAGTTAAGTGTTTTGACTGAAATTCTAAAAATGTGAGAATGCGTTTGCTGTGCAGATGTCGAACTCCGTGTTTTCCATCCAGTCCAAGGATTTTACGAGTTGCCTTTGTTACTATTTAATCTGGAAGCGAAGTGGGCAGAACTGCATGTTCCAGTTGGCCAGCCTGCCAGTCTGCATTTGAGCTGCTTTGACCTCAGACATACAGTCTCTGATGATCTTGTTCTTGGACAACTCGGTGGGGGATGCTGGGACTTCCTTCCCACAGGCCCATGTACTGACTGAGCCCTGAGCCAAAAGGGCAGCTATGGCAGCAGCTCAGCTCAGGGTGCAGGCCTGGGGATCCCTGGGGCTTCCCTCTGAGGTCCCTTGTTGGTTCCCTGGACCCAGTCCTGCCTGCCTTTCAGTCCTTGCTTCTCAAAGTGTGGTCCGTGGACCAGCAGTATAGCATTACCTTGGAACTTGTTGGAAATTTGGAATCATGGACCCCCGTCCCAGACCAACAGGATCAGAATCTTCATTTTACCAGGAGAGCCAGGTGATCTGTATGCACATTAGTTTGGGAGTCACTGCTCTAAGAAGTGCTCCAGAGGGATTTCTGGAGCACAAATCCACCCCTGTCGTTGCTCGTTCAGCATGCCCAACTGGGCCCTTTGTGGGAGGGCCAGCTCTCCTGCTTCTCTCCCCATAGCTCTCCACCCTCAATGGTGAAGGCTGAGTTCAAGCTCTGGCTCTGGCACTTCCTAGTCATACAACCCTACGCAGGGCATCTGACTTCTATGAGCCTCACTTTACTCATCTGTAAAATGGAGACAGTGACAGCAATCACATAGGTCTGACGTAAGACAAAGAAATAATGGTGTGAGGACTGGGACTCTCGTTCAGTCTTATTTCTTCCTTGGCCCCCACTCCCATGCATTCTCTTCACTGCTGGCATCTTTGTGAATGTACATTTTCAGGAATCACCCAGCAAGATCCATTGCCTTTGGAAGATACTACATAGCATGGTGGCCAAGAAGAGCATGGGCAACGCAACCAGATGGGCCAGAGTTCAAATTTTGACTCTCTCTCTGAGCCTCGCTTTTCTCCTCTGTAAAATGGGGTTGACAGGAAAGTGATGTGACAATCAAAAGAGGTAAGTAATGCATGTGAAGTGCGTGGCAAACAACACACACTCAATTAGTGACAAATCTCGGTATTATTATTATTACTATTATTACCCATCCCCGGTAGCACAGAGAAATGGTGGGAAGGGTGGTAAATACCATGCAAATAAACTGGCACAGCTCCCACTCCGGAAAACAGTATGGAGTTTCCTCAAAAAGTTAAAAATAGAGGGGCTCCTGAGTGGCTCAGTTGGTTAAAGCCTCTGACTCTTGGTTTCAGCTCAGGTCATGATCTCAGGGTCGGGAGATTGAGCCCCACATTGGGCTCCATGCTCAACGAGGAGTCTGCTTGTCCCTCTCCCCCTACTCCCCTCCATCCCCTGCTCTCCCTCTCTTACATAAATAAATACAATCTTAAAAAAAAAGTTAAAAATAGAACTACCCTACGATGCAGCAATTGCACTACTAGGTATTTGCCCAAAGACTACAAAAACACTAATTTGAAGGGATACATGCACCCCGATGTTTACAGCAGCACTGTGTACAATAGCCACATTATGGAAACAGCCCAAGTGTCCACTGACTGGTGAATGTATATATACAATGGAATATTATTCAGCCATAAAAAGAATGTAATCTTGCCATTTGTAATGACATGAATGGAACTAGAGAGTATGCTCCTAAGTGAAATAAGTCAGCCAGAGAAAGATAAATACTATATGATTTCACCCATATGTGGAATTTAAGAAACAAAACAAACCAGCTAAGGGAAAAAAGGAGAGAGAGAGGCAAACCAAGAAACAGACTCTCAACTATAGAGAACACACTGATGGTTACCAGACGGGAGGGGTTAGGGGGATGGGTGAAATAGGTGATGGGGATTAAGGAGGGCACTTGTGATGGGCACCAGCTGATGCATGGAAGTACTGAATCACTATATTATACACCTGAAACTAATATTACACTGTATGTTAACTGGAATTTAAATAAAAACTTAGGGAAAAAACCTACTACACCGTATATGAAAAAAAAAAGAAAATATCATGCAAATATAAAGCATTATTAATGCTGACATTCCCTGTACTTACTTCAGACAGCCTTTGGCAGCCGAGTTAGTCCTGACAATTAGCGCTTCTCTCTCTGCCTACAGAACATTGCTCTCTACATTACCCATGGTTGTCCTTGACCTGGCCCACCTGCTTTCTCTCAGCATACAGTCCGGCCCGGGCACTCATGCGGCTTAGCTTGCAATGGCTGGTCAAGGAAAAGGGGCACAGCCTGCAGATCTACAACAATGCTTTTCAACCTAGGCTGTGTTTGGAAGCGCCAGGGGTAGAGAGGGGGTGGGGGGGGAGGACTTTAAAATCTACTGATGCCTGGGGCCCACCCACTGACATTCATTTGATTGATCTGAGGTGCGTCTAGGTTCTGGGACCCTTTAAGTTTTCCCAGGTGACTCTAATATGCAGCGGGGGTTAAGAGACACCTCCCTCATCTAGAGGATGAGGACAAGCTCTAGAGAACTCCCTCCTGGTTCACACGCAAGGAATACCTTCTCTACTCTCTACCCCAAAAGGGGGCCCATGAGGAATGCTAATTTATTTCGAAAGCAAAGGCCTCCCCTCCCAGAAGCAATAAAACTTCAAATGGACCCAGAGCCTAGTAATTGAATCCTTGGTTGATGGGGATATTTTTGCTCTCTTTGTGAAAACCAACTAAAGCAGTTCAGCCTCAGGAGTTTAAGGAGCAGCTTTAAAGAGCCAAGCCCACCGCGTGTCCCTCTCGACTCACCTCTTAAACCCCCCAAGAGCACCCCGTGGCAGTGGAGTGTCCAGAGACCCAGGCTGAATCCACAGATGCCCCATTTGCTATGCAAGCCAACTGACACTCCAGTTACTAAAGACAGACGTCGTGGAGTGGTGTGTTTTGGGAAGTAGTTTCAACATTAAACCTTAAACATGAAAACCAAAAAAGATTTCCAATGCATCAGAACACCTGAGTCCCTGAGCCTCCCCTTCCCCCTGCCCCAATGATTTATTTCAACCCATGAGGAATTCTAGGCCCCAAATGGGATCTGTTTTTCGGGCTTTTGCAGAACAAACCGGGGAGGCCTCTGCCTAACCTGTTGACACAGGAGTTATGAGTGGCTCTCGAAGGCGGTTGGCCGTTGGTTGCTGGCTCACCTGTGGCTAGAGTGGCCTGGCTGGGCAGGTGTGACCTGGGCCACAGGTGATGAGGAGGGGCAGTTGAGATCACGGGGAGCATTAGCATTGTGCCCAACTTTGCCGAGGAGCCCTATGCCTGGGACCAGTGATTCTCCCCTGGGCTATGGGCACAAAGCTCTGAACACCCATTCCCTTTCCCACATGCTAGAGATGTCCCTGCTGGGAGCCTGCTGGGAGCCTGCTGGGCCCCTGGGCAGAGAAAAGGTCAAGCTGCTGCCCCCCCAGCCCCAAGCGTACCTATTGCTCATGCTCATTCCCTCGGATGCCCCCCCAGCTCCTGACTTCTGGACAGACTACCACTCAGCCTCCAAGACCTAGCCCAAAGCTTTCAGGCCCCATCAACCACACCAACCTCTGGGCAGCTCCTTAAACACAGTTCCTCCATAAGTACCTGTGACTAGGGGCTAACTGGCATGTGGATCTCCTGTAACTACATAGTAATGAGGTCCACCCTTGATTTAATAGGACAATGACAGACGTGCAGTTGGGAAGGACAGAGATGGGGGAAAGAGAGAGAGATAAAGAGAGACAAAGACAGAGGAGACAGGGAGAGACAGAGAGATAGAGATAGAGAGAGAGAGAGAGATAGAGAGAGAGAGAGAGAATGGCATCTTTTCTGGGGGTTCTTACCAGTTCCTTCCTGAGCCAGGCTATAGCTTCGTCGATACTTTCAAAGCCTTCCAGCTTGCCGGTGGGCTGGGGCCCAGTGTCCTGGCTGGCACTCCCGTTAGGTGGGGGATGCTGCCTGGGCTCTCTCCCCGGGGATGAGGGCTCCTCCTCCCCACGCTCCCCCTGCTCAGCAGCTGGCCTCGGAAAGGGCCATGTTGGCTCCTCCAGCCTGGCCTGCCATTCCAAGTAGGAGGGCCTTCGGGTCTCCAGCCTCAGTTTCTCAGTGAGAGCCTTCAGGCTCCGGAGGTGGTCGTCGGGAGGCAGGGCTTCTCCTGCCGTCTCTTCTTGCCCACCTGCCACTTCTTCTACTTGGATCTGAGGCACAGACATTCTAGAGTCTTCTGGGGCAGCCGGGCGTGGGAGGTGGTGGGGGGCGGTGTGGGAATCTTGGTGGGTGGCAAGGTTGGGTCCCACTCAGGAATGGTCTCATCCAGCTGGGGTCGGGGCTCCTGAGGGCATTGTTGGGATGTGAGCAGCTCCCGGAGCTGACAGGGACGGTGGATGAGCCACACGGAGTGCCCTCCAGAGCCGCTGTGGAGGCTCAGGATTTAAGATTCTTCCCGGAGTCCTGTGGGTGCCATGTTTCACAAAAGGGCAGGAACAGACAAGCGTCAGCAGGAATCTTTGGGGGCAGATTTGCCAAGAAGTCCTGGAGGTGCGGGCGGAATCGGGGGGGGGAAGCAGGACTCAGCTCCCTTCCTCACGGGCAAGGGCAGGTGGTGAGAGGCTGCCGGCTGGTTGGAGGAGGCCCTGCAGGAAGGATGCAAATGATGTCAGTTCTAATCCCTCCCCTGGCAGGAGGCCTGCAACGTTCCTGAGCTCCTCAGGAGGGGAAACTGAGGCTCAGAGAGGTTAGGTGACCCGGCTGCCGATTGCTCACTCAGGACGAGAAGTGAGGCGATTTCAAGCCTTAACTCAACGCAGAGAAGTTAATAATAAATCAATGCTCTGTACAGTGTTTCACCGTCTAATGAAATGATTCCACCTCCATTATCACATTCAGTCCCCAAGGCAAGTCTATAAGTTACTTCTTTCTGTCCCCATTTTACATGCAAGGAACCTGAGGCTCTGCGAGGTTGAATGACTCACCAGAGAGCTCCTGGCGATTAGCGAGGACAAGGCTGGGTTGTCTGATTCTGAAGGGTCAGGTCTCTCCTCTGAGGGACAGTGACCTGTGGGTCCCCAGGCCGACACAGCTGGCCCCGCCCTGCCCCGCCCCCCACAGCCCCTGTCCTCAGGCGCTGGCTCTTCCAGGTCTTACTGCACACTCTCAGCTTCTTCCTCTAAGAACAACACCTTACCTCACTTCTTCCAAGGAGGAAGCAAATAAACCTGTAACGGCTGAGGGAAGAGCCGACCTCCCTCAAGGAGGACTGTTAAACCGAGCGAGGATTGTGACTCACCGTTCTAGAAAGATGGTTCCCACATTTACCTAAAATGCCCGCACTGCAGCGCCTCATGGACAAGGGCATGGCTCTCATTGGATTTGGCCTTCCCATCTCTGGGGAGGTGGTCTGAGCACAGGGTAGAGAAGGAACTCCGAGTCTGAGTGAGAGACCCCAGCCTCCCAGCCTCATCCCTGCGCCCACGGGGTCCAGGACATTTGACTTGAACCAAGGAGAGAAGTCCTTGGTTCTCAGGGTGATCTTTTAAACACATGTGCTGAGGGCATGCAGAAAAAGAATGAATTCATGTGGAATAATGTCCAAGATAAAGCTAACACGAAAAAAACAAACAAGACATTCATAGTCTGGAGAGTACACTGTTGGTGTGGAAAAGGAGGAGAAGGGACAGATTTTTATTGACTTCTATGAGCCTGAAAAGATCTCTGCAAGGAGAAAAACTAAAACTAAGAGTTCTGATTACTTGTTTGGGTGATGGGAACTGGGCACAGGGTGTTGGTGGACAGACATAGGAAGAGGCAGAGAGTTGGGCAGGGGAAAAATAAAAACATAGACTCAGCCCCCCAGGGAAGCTCTGGGGCTTTTCTCCCACCCAGCAATGGAGATGTTCAAGAAGAACAGACTGGGTGGCTCAGTCGGTTAAGCGTCTGCCTTCGGTTCAGGTCATGACCCCAGGGTCCTGGGATTGAGTCCTGCATCAGGCTCCCTGCTCAGTGGGGAGTCTACTCCTCTTTCTCTCCCTCTGCCCCTGCTCATGCTCTCTTCCTCTCCTTTCTCTGTCTTTCAAATAAATAAAATTTGGGGGCACCTGGGTGGCTCCGTCATTTAGGTGTCTGCCTTCAGGTCAGGGTGTCCTGGGATCGAGCCCCATGTTGGGCTCCCTGCTCAGCAGGGAGTCTGCTTCTCCCTCTGCCCCTCACCCCATTTGTGCTCGCTCTCTCTCTCTCTCTCTCAAATAAATAAAATCTTCAAAAAGAAGAAGAAGAAGAAGAAGAACAGAGCTTGCTGTTTTTTTGGACTGTTTCTATAATCCCCGCCTGCAACTCAATCTGACCAAAGGAAGTCTGGCTGTCCTCCCCATGCTCTGAGCCTGGCCCATTTGGGGGCATCCCTGAGGAATGAGGAGGAATATTCTATCCCAACTAATGGCAGAGAAACCTAGTTCTCACCTCTAGCCACCCAGATGGGAATCCTCAGAGGAACTTCCACAAAAATGAATTTTCAGGCTCCACTCCCAGGGGTTCTGATTCAATTAATCTGGGGCGGCACTCGGCCATCAGCATGTTTTTAAAGCTCCCCAGGGGATGTGAGTGAGCGGCCAGGGCTGGGAACCACTGGTCTTGAGCTAGAAACACTAGACTAGGGATCAGATGGCCGAACTGTAGGTGCTGTCAGGCTTGCTGAGCCTCAGTTTCCTTGCCTATAAAATGGGGGTGATAATACCAATCTCCTAGGTTTGGGGGATTGGCAGAACTAAGGTTCGTACACACTTTCTGCAGGTGTAGCATGCTTGCAAATGCTGGGTGTTCTCAGGAGGGGCTTCCTGTGCAGTTTCAAGGTCACACAGGCTTCTTTAGAATCTCTCAGAATCTAAAGACCTATTAGCAGCCCCTCCCAGGCGCCGGAGGCCTCTTTGCTGAGGTGCCAGAATGTTTTGAATGTGCCTCGGGGTGGCTCTACCTTACAGGATTCTTCCCCCCCGCCCCCCCGCCCAGGCAGGGGAGCTCTGATGGTTTCCAGTGAAGCTTTGTGGAGAGGATCTCATTGCAGACAAACTGTAAGTAGTGCTCCCTCCACACCGCAGCTGTGTGAGCAGATGACACGGACTGTTCTCTCCCTGAGCTGCACACTTCACTGCAGAAGGCAGGGGCAGCTGTGGCTGGAGGGAGAACCTGTTAGGGAAGGGTCTTCCCTTTGGAGTGGGAAAGAGCTATGACTCCATGACTTTATGAGGCTGCCTCCAAGCGTAGGGGGAGTTATTTTAATTGGCGGTTTCTAAAGCAATCCAGAGAAGACCTGTGAAGACGGTGTCAGAAAGACGTGGAGGCATTAACAGGAGCGCCAATGCACTGTGAGTCAGCTAATGAGGATCCTTTGATCTGCTGAGCTTAGGGAGTGTGTGAAAGAACCCGTGTATGCATCCTCTCTCTCAAGCCTCCCAGTGGCCCCGAGGAGCAGGTGGGATTGCCCCGTTTCACAAATGAGAAAATCGAGGTGGGGAGGGGTGAAGTGAGTCACCCCTGACCACAGACAGGTGCTGGCAGCCGGATTTGGGTACAGTCTTTGGACTCTGGCTGGCCTCTGTCTACTCCAGAGGTTAGACAGCCCCCCGCAAGGGCACCCCGTTCTGTGATCTTGGACATGTCCCTTCTCGACCACTCTGTGCCTCTGTGTCCTCTTCTAAGAAGAGGGGATAACCAGGATCGTCTACATAATTTGCTGGGCTTGGCGCAAAATGAAAATGCAGAGCTCCTTGTGGAAAAGTATTAAGAATTTCAAGATGGCAACTGCAGAGCATTTATGCAGGCATGGGGCCCAGTGGGGCTGCCCAGGTCCCTTGCTTATGAAGCCGGCCCTGATGGTAATAATATCAGCTTCATGAACCATTTCAAGGATTGAAGTAACAAATATCGAGCCCTTCCCATGGTGCCTGCTCTACGGTAAGCCCTAGACAAAGTTATACTTTAAAACTATTATTCTTAAGATGGTGAAACCTATCAGTGCTACATCAGTCATGTGACCAGATAAACTACTCTGCGCTGCACTGACCAGTCACCCCGTTCGTCCCAGACCTGCTTGGTGGCCTGAGCCACTCCCTGCACCCTGCATCCTTCCCTCGAAGCTGACTGAGATGACGTCGATCGGCCCCACCTCCCCCCAGATGTTCAGGTCTCCCCCTCAGAGTCGCATCATGCAGCGGTGACTAGCAGGTCTGCCACAGGAAGGAAAAGAAAAGCCCAGCTTAGGAAAACACCATTCTCCATAGCCCCACTCCCTTCCCTCCCTGCTCCTATTCTAAACACCCCTGTCCACAGCTCAGGGCCCCGGGAGTCACCAGCTTTGACAGTGTGTTATCCACATGGTAAGAGCAAAGGCAGGGGGGCTGAATGCCTCAGCTCTGGCCCCAGATGTGCTCCCCAGAAACCCAGTGCTGGGGCTCAGCTCTCTCCTCTTGGCCTCCGTTTCCTCCTCTGTACAAGGGGGCTTCCTACCCCAACCCGCCTCATGAGGATGCTGGGAGGATCAGCTGGAATCTGGTGCATGAAAGCTCTCCACAACCTTTGAAGATCTGTACCCACCTGAGGATTATTATTAGCATCAAGGCATGTGTGGGGTGTGGAGCACCCTGAGTCAGGGACTCGCCACTTGAGGTGTGTGGTCACCTGTAGCAGGCAGGGACGGAGCCCTAGACTGCTTCCCACGGCCCCCAGCACATGCAGGTGGTGCGGATTTGCTGAAACAGGATCCGTTCTCCATTCTCCTGGTCCTTAGGTGGTGTCCCAGGGATCACTGGCCCTCTGGATGCCCTGGTGCCCGAGAGCCCCTGTGGAGTTGCTTCCCCTGCCCTCCAGCTAGGCTGCCAGGAGCTGAGCTGGAATGTCACGACTCAGGTCACCACAGGGATGTGGGCACTTAGTGGGCACTCAGCTGGGTGCAGGGAGCAGAAGCCAGCCCTGGACGGCTCTCTGGTCTGAAAGGGCAGTAGGGACTTCCCTTTCCTCTGCACAAACCAGGGATTTGGGAGCACAGGCACTGGGAGGAAGAGCCCTCCAACACCTGGGCGAAGGGGCTTGCTTTATATCTAACCTAAGTCCTTCCTGCTGCTGGGGAACACCTTTTCTCTCCCTCTGAGCCTTGCAAAGGCAGACAGCCTGGGGAGGAAAGCCAAAGGATGCTGGCAGAACCAGGCGCCCAGAAAAACAAGGTCAGACCCTAATCCCACCAGGCCCGGGCGTGCTCTGCCAGGCGGGCCACCCAGCTGCTGGGGGACACGAAATTTCCCGCAACAGAAGACAAGCCTCAGGGGTGCATCCACCTTATTGTGGTAGAGACAAGCCAGCGCCCGGGGACCTGCACTGCCTGGGAGGACTGCTGCCCGAACACGCTCCTGGCTCACTCCAGCCCAGGGTGGCTTCGGCGAAGGAGACTGTGCCAGCCATGAGCTAACTCCCGGGCTGCTGGAGGAGCCAGTGGGTGCAGCTCAGTCATCCGGCCAATTATGCCCTGTGTCATCACGACCTAGTCTGTTCACTTGGACCACTTTCAAACCCACTTCCTAGATGGGCTCCATGGGCAGGGGAGCGTGCAGGGGCTGCTAACCCATTCTGTCTGTCTCTCCCTGTCTCT